GAAGATGTGCATATTGATGATGCTGTGGAAGCTGTTACTAATACTATTATTCAGGCAGCTATGCTTTCCATTCCTAGAACATCAGGAAAACTCCTAAAATATTTGAAACCGTGGTGGAATCGCGACTGTCATGAAGCACTGAAACGCAGAAAAAAGCATGGGGTATTTTTCGTAGATATCCTACTCTGCGAAACCTCATAGCATTTAAAAGAGCCAAAGCAAATGCACGAAAAGTAAGGAGGCAGAGCCAAAGGAATTCCTGGATCTCATATGTGTCGTCAATTACCTCCTCCACGCCTAGTAAGCGGGTTTGGGAAAGAGTTCGAAAAGCATGCGGTATCTATAAAGACCACTCACTTTCCTTTTTGGAAGAAGATGGCGGAGTGATTAGCTCCATAGAAGAAATAGTGAATACTATTGGTGAACTATTTGCTGCCGTTTCTTCCAGCAGAAACTATTCACCTGCATTTCTGTCTATCAAGCAGCACTCTGAAATAAATCCCATCGCATTCAACTCTTCCAAATCTGAGCCTTACAATAGAGCATTTACTATGCTGGAATTAAAGAGAGCTTTGTTGCTGACACATAAGTCTTCTCCGGGTTTTGATGGCATAAATTACGAAATACTAAAGCATCTGTCCTAAAAGTCACTGACTGCCCTTCTCACTCTCTACAATAGAGTGTGGAAGGAGCGTATTTTCCCAGTGCATGGAGGAGAGCTGTAGTAATTCCTATCGCGAAGCCAGGGAAAGATCCAAGGAATCCTGCGAACTATCGGTCAATTGCCCTTACCAGTTGTGTATGCAAACTGTTTGAAAAGATGGTAAACAGCCGCCTAGTCTACTTCTTGGAAAAGAATAATATTATATCGCCTTATCAAAGTGGTTTTCGAAAGGGGAGAACAACCGTAGGTAACATGCTCCTCTTAGAGACTTCCATTCGGAAAGCATTTGTAAGAAGCCACCTTGTCTCAGTATTCTTCGACATTGAGAAAGCTTATGATAAGGCATGGAGATACGGTATACTTCGCGATCTTCACGAGAGTGGCTTGCGCGGCAGCCTACCAATTTTCATTCAGAATTTCTTGAACGCTAGAACTTTTCAAGTACGAATTGGCTCTGTTCTGTCAGATGTTTTTGAACAACAGAGGGTGTGCCTCAAGGCTGTGTGCTTACTGTAAACCTGTTTAGTTTAAAAATAAACTCTGTATTAAAAGAACTGCCTCCCACCATCTTGGGATCTCTATATGTTGATGATCTGCAGATTAGCTGTCGAGGGGCAGATATGAGATACGTAGAGCGGCAACTGCAGATGGCTCTGAATAAGATCGAAGAATGGTCAAACAAACAGGAATTTACATTTTCGAAACAGAAAACTGTGTACGTGCACTTTTGTAGGAAGCGTGGTCTCCATCCTGAACCTGAGTTATATCTTAATGGTACAATTATTCCAGTTATGCCTGAAGTAAAATTTTTAGGAGTGACGTTCGACCGAAAATTGACTTTCCTTTCTCATGTTTTCAACCTGAGAAAGAAGTGTCTAAAAACACTAAATATTTTAAAAGTGTTGGCGAACACCTCCTGGAGTGCAGAGTGTTGCTCTATGCTTCACATTTACAGAGCGCTTATCCGCTCTAGACTGGACTATGGCTCAGTTGTTTATGGATCCGCTCGGTCATCTGTTTTGTTAAAACTGGATCCTGTTCACCATCAAGGTCTGCGGATTTGTCCAGGAGCTTTCAGGACTTCTCCTGTACAGAGCCTATATGTTGACTCTAACGAACCATCACTTTATCTGAGGCGTGAGCAATTGTCACTTTTGCAATATTTTAATATTTTATCCCAACCTGAACATCCCAATAAGCTGTGCTTACTTGATAATTAGTAACACATTATTTGAAACATGTCCATCCTGTGTTCCTACTTTTCCTTTAAGAGTTCGCCCAGTCATTGAGGAACTTTCCCTCTCTGATATGCACCCCCAAGCAGTACAGAATTTTGAAATTCCACCTTCGGAAAATACACGGATTCAGCTCCTTGATGTTTTCAAACATCACGTGAAGGCGAGCACTAACGAGACCGTTTACAGACAACTCTTCGCTGAGCACAGGCACAAATATAGCAGTTATTATCCGATATACACAGATGGATCAAAGTCAAATGATCATGTCGGGATGGCTTTTGTATTTGAAGATTACATTGAGGGCAGATGCCTGCACCATGCTTGCTCAGTCATAACATCTGAACTAACTGCAATATATTATGGTCTTTTGTACATCTCAAAGCTCTGCCACAGAAAGTTCATGGTTTATACAGACTTGTATAGTGCTCTTAAATCCTTGGAAGCTTTTCGAAACACTCAGAATCATGTGGTAGTGGATGTTCTCAAAATTCATATAAATTTAACGATTCGAGGATATGAAGTCCTGTACTGCTGGGTTCCTGGACATGCTGGAATAAAGGGAAATGAGCTTGCAGACATCGCAGCCAAATCTGCTATTGAACCGTCCAGTCGCCTTATCCCTTTTAGAGACATCTGCTGTGTCATCAAGGGAAAGGTTCGAAAAAAATGGCAGCGATTTTTGGGATGTTCAGCATCGCAACAAGTTGAGAAACGTCAAGCCTAGACTTGAGCATTGGGATTTTGCTGGAAATCGTAAGGGGGACGTTCTTTTGACTCGCCTCAGAATTGGTCACACTAGAGTCACACATAACTATCTTCTCAAAGCTGAAAATGAGCCTGTTTGTTTTAATTGTAATGTTTGTTTATCTGTTCATCATATTTTAATTGAGTGTCCATGTTTTAAGAGTCTTCGCCAGAAATATTTTAATAGCTGTGACTTACCTCTCGACCGTTTAATCGGAAGAGAGGTCAATTGTAATTTATTTTATTATTTAAAAGAGACTGGCTTTTATTATTGAATGTAATTTGTTTTGAAGACTGTGTCTTGAATTTTAATGTGTGCTTTTAACTTTTGTTTATATGACTTCATCCTCTGGATTTGGTATATTTATCTACTTGTTTTTATTTATTGAATTTTAATGTCATCAATGGTAATCATCCCATCTTGTGTTTGGCGCGTCATAATCATCTCTGGTTTTTGCGCCATAATCACTCACTCACTCACTCTTAATTTAAATTATACTTTATATTTACTTACCTTTTACCTTTCTTACACACACACACACATACATATATAACTAGTAAAACTGCACATTATTAAATCCAGATAATTGTGTAAATTTGCATGTTTTTTAATATATATGGTGTGAGCAAAAAATATCTTGCAAAAATGTAATGGCAGCCTAATGGGACCAAAATAAGTAGTTGTTTTTTCTTTTTTTTTTTTAATGGAATGCATGTGTGCCAAAATTACACTAAGGTGACATGGCTCTGTTGAATGTTAGGTAAAAGAGGTTTTTCTCATGTAAATCATCATTTCCCATGCAGATTTCAAGTGGTATGCAGCTACAAATGCAGAGTTCACCAACATGTATTTTGTCTATGGAGCTGCAGACAGAAATGCAGAACTACTCAAACGAGGTTGACAGAATGATCACCTCTGCTCCCCTTTCCACCTCAGCCCTGTAGATAAAATGCATCTTGTCAAGTTCCATATTCATAGTGACCCCAAAAAATTGAAATCTGCACAGAAAATTATTTATGCAGTAAACCAATTATACCTACCCATCAGATCTCGACAAATCTTTGTAGCATCTCAATACGTTATTCCTGCATTGCATCATAACATGCTCATTTTGATCCCTTCTGCCTGCGTTTATATTTTTGAATCATCCTGTATATACAGCCAATCCTTAATGCCTTTACATGGACTTTATTTTCGCAACCATTGGTCAAAGACCAGTAGCTCCATTTTTAAAAATGCTTTAAATGACACAAATATTCAAATTATGATATTTTTAAATGTACAAAATTAATTTTACAAACATTATGAAGTATAACTTTAAATATGGTTTCACGGCCTGCATACTTACATTTATAAATAGTTTATGGTCATTTCGAAAAGTAAGACACAAAAGGTTCGAAACCCATATGAGAAATATTGACCAAGCTAATTAATTTCGAAGTTGGGATTTTTTTTTTTTTTTTTTTTTTTTTTTTTTTTTTTCAGTTTCACTTAACATATTGCTCTCCACAAGTGTCAGTTAAAATATTATAATTTAAGGTTCCCCCATTTAATGTCACTCAGTGGTATTCCTTTGTGATTTACAAGAGCACTGCATTCTTTAATTTATATTTTTTTTTAATTTTGTTACAGCTGGTATGATGAAAGCATTTTAACATTAGTAATTTACAAGTTTTTAAATGCTAAAAATATATTAATAATATTTGCTTGCAATTTTATTATTTTAGGATCGTAATAGTCTACCAAAAATTCATTGGACTAGAATTTTCCCTTTTTCCAATTACTGCAAATATTATTTCAATATGACTATGTACCAAACTTACAGTCTCCCATTATTTTCTAGAACATGAATTCTACAAGAGTATGAGTAAAATTCTTTTTTGAAACTGTTTTTTCAAAATCTTTTACAACAGTCTATGTACTAGTAACTTAATCTGTTCACATCAGAAACTGTTTTCTAAACTGACACTTCATTTTTAGTTACATACAAATTTTAACATTTCACTCTTCAATTTGTGTACACCTGAATTTTATGAAAATATGATCTCAAACTCTAAAATTAAATATATTACTCACATTTTTTCATATGGGAGTCAACCTCTTTGTGTTTTGTTTATGATAATGAGTATAAATTCCTACTAAATGCAACTACAGAGAGCACTGGACATTCATTACTGTCTACAACCAATGGTTGTTAAAATCAAGCTCAGGAAAAGGACATTTATATACATGCCATATATAATAAAATTGAATATTATGCATCCCAATTTTATGTCCTAGGAGAAAGACATTTATGTTTCAAAAAGAATTTCCTATCATGAATGAAACTAAAATGAAACAAATTTACACTCACTTTACTTAGGGGCTGTTTACTTCCATTAGCAGCACCACACTTTGATAGAGTGGAATTTAACCTAGAAAAATAATTATCTTTTCACTTGATCCACACATTTTATGAAATGTAATATTAAAATAACCAATTATAAATAAAAAATAATATAAGACAAATAATAAATGGATGTTACTTCTGCGCAAATTTCAATTCTGTGGGAACAGGAGTATCATTTTCATATTTTCCTTGAAGTGCCTACAAAAATATATGCATTTAATAAAATGCTACAAAAGAAGTATTATAGTAGATTTTCTTTACTTCTTAAAGTGTACTAAGATACAGCTTACAGACAGAAGGTTTATGGTAAATATAAAGTGACCACACGTCCCAATTTTGGTAGGACAGTCCCGCTTTTTAGAGGACTGTTCCACATCCCGCTGATTTTTTAAAATGTCTCGCTTTTTAGAAAATATCTGCATTTCTTATTTTAAATGTACTATTGTAAAAATATATTACCTATTATTTATTAATTATTATAGTGAATATAAAGAAATAAAATATACATAAATAAAATAAACACATAATATGCATGCAGAGTAAACTAAATTAGGTGATGTAGCGAGTTAGATTTACTCGGTGGTGATTGATTATTGTCGTTACATCTCGTCAAAGAATATGTTTTGTTATGAATGAAAGCTTCACCAAAGCAGGAGTGGCTCCATCATATTGTAGAGGGAAGCACTTGAGCATGTGTGAAATAACTGTCGAAGAAAATTCAACCTTAATACCATTTTGTGCATGTGCAGAACAGTTGTTGAAACATAGTCAAAGGTCACGTTTGTGAAGAGTTCATACTTCTGTGACACCATTTTTTCCTCCATCTGTATCGAAATAAATCAAATCCGTGTTGTTCCCTTCTTAATGCAGGTAAGTGCGGACTGCCATTAGACAGCATGGTTTGTTGTTTTCAATTTAATGTTCGACTCATTATTCGATTGATGAAGGAAGGGCAATAGTTGCCACAGTGTAATGGTCAATAAGGTACAATTTAGTACTCTTTTTTAGCCTTTATAGCATTTACCCATAAGATAAAAGATGAGTAAAAAAAGAGAATGTGAATTTAATGACGAGCTAAGCAGAGAATTTCCATTTATAAAAAAAACCAAAATAGACTATATGATACAGTGATAAATGTAACACTGAATTTTTGGTCTCACATGGTGGAAAAAACGATATTATTAAACATCTAGTGACAAAGAGGCACAGAAGATTTTTGAATAATGCCGCTTCCTCTTTTAAAATGGAAGTGTTTTTGCAGTGCTAGCTTTGGCAACACAGAGGAACAGCTAGCATTAGCTGAAGGGCTATTTGCTTTCCACATCATAAACCACTATCAAAATTTCAGATTGAATATAAAAGAATTCTTGGTTACAGCAAAACATGATGGTTAGCTCTTTTACCAGCTGTAGAAAATATTTTAAAAATATATGAACCATTAAAATCATACTTTTTATCACAAGATAAATGTCCAAGAATATTGCAGCTCTTTATTGAAAATGTCATATCATAAATTTAGCTTCAGTTCATCCACAACCAAGCTATATTATTTCCCAATGCTGTGAAAATTATTGAAGAGGACAAAATTTCAGTTATGGAAGTATCAAATGAAATAAATAATTTAAAACAAAACTGTGAGAAAGAATTGACAAGGATTATATTCCTTTAGTTATTCGAAAGGACATCACTAGGTTGGAAGAACAAGGTGCCATTAAATGACCAGATTTTCTAAAAGAAGTCAGAAATTTTTATAGCTGCTTGGAATATCTTGAAGAATGGACAGTTCAATTCGAGGATACTAAAAATTTTCATTGGGTGACATTAAAAAAGGGAGATTTTATGGAAATATGTGGAATAATCTTTTGAATATATTAGTATATTCAAAAGCAATTATAACTTTCATATTCAATTATATTAGCATATTCAAAATCAATATTTTGAATATATTAGTATATTCAACAGCTTTATTAATTAGCAATAACTAATAATAAATACATTTTCATATATTTATAGACAAGTATATGAATGTATACAATAAAAAATATTTTTTTAATTATTGGTCTGCTTTCATAACTAAATTATAATTCTCATTTTATCCCATTTGTCCCACTTTGTCTCAATGAAAATGTGGTCACTTTAGCTAAATAGGACTTCTAATACATCTTCAATTTTAAAAAAAAAAAAAAAAAACTAACTCTTTTTATCCATATTATGCAAATATTCATCCGTATTACACCTTTTTATCCATATTATACATCTATACTCTTTTATCCTCCCACTATCTTGAATTCTGCTTTGTTCCCAATATTTTCAGTACAATTATTCAGGTGAAATGCAGGCTAAAGATTACTCCAATTATTTTTTACTACGAACAATATTAAGGCAATTTAATTATTGACAGTATCAACCCCTTGCTTCCGTACTGTATAATGCACTGGCAAAAAAATTGAAAATGTAAGCACGAAATTCCCAGCTTTGGAAGTTACGCATGAAATACAGAAATAATGGAAGGGGGAGGGAATATAGTAGATGAATAGTATGAAAAAAGCTTTCAGAAAGCAGAAAATGAAACTTTAAAAAATAAATAAATCTATCTAAGTGGTCTATGACAGATTTTATTTTTTTTAACTTCACACATTAGAATTGGTAACAAGAAAACAGAAAGAAGCTCAGCATTTACAGCAAATATACTATTATAAATATTTATAAATGTGCTTATAATATACGTATAACGATCATAATAAATGCGAATATGAACTGACCATGCAGAATGAGAATGCAAATTATTAAAATCTTGGATAGAAGTTAAGCTGCATACAGAGACATGTCTATAATCTGTGCGTACAGGTACTGAGAGGAAAAAGAATGTGGAATATACGGAATTTTCTACTCATTCACAATTCTTTGACCAATAGAACAACATGCACTTGTCTGTACAAATAAGTATTATTTTTTAAGAAATATTCACAAAATTTTCTATGCAATATTTTATGTTATGCAATGCAAAAATATGCAATGCAAAGAAAGGGGAGAAAAGCTATTTCCTGAAGTATGAATCAGCATCTTACACTCCAGAATAGGAAGAAAAGTTGTTTATAAGCTTTGATACAAAAGAAAATGTGTGTTTGTTAAGGGGGGGGTAACTCTAAACACAAAAAAATAAGCACTAAAAACAAAAAATAAGTAAGCAACCAATAAAGGCTTCTACAACTTATTTTCAAATATATGCACTTGTAAGGTTCGCTGTGCACCCTGGCCCCTATTTTCATAAACTTACACTTATTAAAATGACATTTATATTATTAAAGAATGTAAGAAAGCAAAATATCATAAATTATAAGCTAATATATACCAAGTGACAAAAAATCTCATGACTGGATAAAGCCGGTCATGGTGCTCCGAGGGTTAATCCACGGTCAACTGGAGAACATGGCCTGGTTAGCTATACAGTGACGTCATGAAAGGCTTCCGATTCTTCCGTGACTTTCTTTGCTTCAGTTTTGAATGTAGGCATTTTGTTCAATGTTTAAATTCTTTTGTTTTTAAGGCGTAATAATAAAATTTCCAAAGAATTACAGAAAAAAAGTATATAAAAGGTCATTTATTCATTTACAGTTAAAATTAATAGCTAAATAAGTATTATTTTTTTTAGAAATATTCACAAAATTTTCTATGCAATATTTTATGTTATCTTATACAATTATTTTTATACTGTATAGTAATAATTTTTAGGATATGCTGGCAACAAACGTTTTTGAATTAAGTAAATAAAAAAAAGCTGTTATTTATTAACATAATAAATTTGATTATTCATACTTCCACTAAAGTAAATAGAATTATTTAAATAATATATTACTAAAAATATGATTATAAAATTTACTTCTGATTTTATTGATCCAAAATTTGCAGGTTTAATTTCGCAGAAGTGAAAGAAAGGGGAAGGAAAGAATGAAAGTTTTATGGTATAAATAATTCACTCATGAAAAATCAACATTATTTAGCAAATTAAAAAACATAAAAAATTATTATTTTGTATTATCTTATTACAATATAATTATTTATTAATCATTATTAATTTTAATCTTCAGAAAAACTTGAATGAGCGATTAATAATACATCCAATGCCTTACTACAAATATTTCAGAGCTTTCAAATAGTATGCAAATTTATTTTTTAATTCATTTAAATTATTATCTAATAAACTGAACAACAGATGAAACCTGAACACAACTATACATAGAATAAACCAAAATTTCTGTCTATTTAGCAAATATGCAGCAAGTTATACAAGTATATTTGAAGCAATAATTAATCACAGATGACAATTTATTTTGAAAAACCATGGGGTATTACCAAATATTAAAGAAGTAGCAAAAGGATTATTACATGAAATACTAATTGGTGTTGAAATTTGCTGTTTATTTGAAATTTAAATTTAAAAGATACTTATTCTTGAAAATATATTTGAACTGCATTATACTAAGTATACACTATGCTTCAATTTTAAAAAGAATATAATAATAATAAAGTCATTTACATTACCACTCACTTCTTTTCATCAAGTATTCTTGATTTTTTTTAATTTTCCTTTCATCATTTTTTGAATGCATATTATTTTGAACAACTTTAGTATAATTATTTATGCAAATATTTGAAATGGTGCTCATTATTTTTATAAATCTACTAAAAAAGGGAATTCCACATTTTTCAGAGATGATCAACAGATGGAAGGCAGATTAGTTTACTGTCATAAAGACAACTACAACAAGCAGCTGACTTAATATATAATGAATATGCAAGGATCAAAATGTCACTGCTATACCTCCTAGCCACTTTACTTTTATTGCACATCTTCGTTTGTTCCAAAATAAAACGTTCTGTTCCATAAGTAAGATCCTCAAGTGCTTTTTATTCAGTATGTACTTTATAGTTACATACTAATTCATAGTTCGATTTTTTTATGTCTTTCCTTTTGCATAATTATAAATGTTTTCAAATTCACTCTGTAAAGTAAGTTTATTTTATTTCCATTTAATATATTTTTTAATTCTTCCATTTCAACAGCTTCATCTAGAAAAACTGCTATATCCATACGAAGTGATACATACAGTACAAAGTCTTTAATCCAGACGTCTATAATCCGGACCTCAAAGCTACAAACTTTCTGCGCATGCGTAAGGTTTACACATGCACATAAT